TGATCCTTGACAGTCGGCGCTACTGTGAAAAAGAACCCCTCTCTAATGTGTATCTTTTCAGGGCTGCAGTGAGCCCTGAGCTCATTTTTATGGATAACAATGCACGACCGCATCAAACATCCAAGGTGAAAGAGTTCCTGACACAAGAGGTTATATAACAATTGGAGTGGCCTGCACGTTCCCCTGACCTGAATCCCATCGAGCACGTGCAGGATGCATGGGGTAGAGGCATTGCAGCATGTCCAAATGCACAACTGACCATCCAGCAATTGTCAATTGCGCTGATAGAGGAGTGGAATGCCCTACGACAATAATTCATTTCCAACCTCGTGGAAAGTATGGGATCGCGTTGCAGAGCATTTACTGCTGTCCGTGGTGATCACACACCCTATTACGAACCGCGTCACTTCTTTTGAAGTACTAGGATAAGTTGTGAGGAATTATGTGTAATCGGTACCTTTCAATAAAAATAAATAAATGTAGAATTCAGATGTTAGACAAGATTGATTAACGCTCGAAAACTTTATACTCTATCCTTTAACAAATACTCTAGTGGTTAGAACTGCGACTGCTGGCGAAGTCTACTACGTGAAGCTACATTTTCCGAGTGCGAATTCAAATACAGGGAATTCGAAGAGCTCTTGAAGCTCTTGATACCATAGTCTACAGCAGTCTGAACCAAAACTCTCAACGTTATCACGAAACAACTTAGCAATCACATAACAAAATCTAAAAGTCACGAAAAAGGCAAGGGAACACAACAAGCGAGATTTTCCAGGCTAGGACAAAAGCTACAGCACCTATTCCTATGTAACTGCCAACGCTCCAAACGAAAAGAGCAACTCTGAGTCTCAAAGCAATCACCAATCTGGTGCTGGGAATCTGAGAATTGAAAAAAAACTCAGTTTTCCGTCTGAGAATCGAAAAGACTGAAAACTATGTCGCTCTTAAAGAGAATCACAGCAATACGAATCCAGTCCAGATTATTCTTGTGATCGTAGGAGGTCGCTATGAGAAATACTGTTTTGGAATCTTCAACCAATACAGAGGACTAAGGAATACGAACATAACGCACATTGAACGGCAAGGGTTGAAAGAATCACGCGAATCATGATCCGATGGTACCCTAGGCGTATCGTGATATAGGAGGTGAGTTCCTCGTTATGTCACAATCATTTGATCGAGCCATAACCGAAGTCCATCTCAGCGGCTTTACTGGTTACTGCTGCGTTACAGAGAGAGACTTTGCATCACAATGCAGCCGCCTCAATCATATCTAGTTAAATCTGGATGGATCTGCAGGTATTGATGGAAATTTGCTTAGTAGGCTCAAAGTGAATAGTCCGAACTGTCCAGTCTTTTACAACCTCATAAGGACCCTTAAACCTTCCTTCACCGGTACGCTGTCAACATCAGAGATTACTTGCAGAATTTTTCCCATCATGAGCTGTGTGTGTGTGGGGGGGGGTGACCTATTGATAGAATTTTGCGGTTGATAATAACACCAGTTGGGCTACGCACGCTAATGCGTGCACCATATGCCCACTACCGCTTACCTACGACTTGTTAAAGGACCAATATGAACAGTATCGGTTGACTTCCCATTTCATGCCTGCTCCCTCACCGCGCTCACGCGACATTCACACTCTTCATCGTGCCCAGTGACTTCCGGAAGGACGCACAAACCGACCCACAAACAGACACACAAAGTTACCGCTTCGTCTAAAGAGACCGCCCGGCTAACGCCGGGCTTCCCTCCTTGGCCTCCTTCTTTTCTTGGGATAGAGTTGTGATAAACGGCAAACAGCACACTCCTTCTAGGGAACGAATGATACTTTTCGGAACCCGAAGTTCGATAGAGGAACAATATGGCATGCAAACGATATTCAAAATGTGCCGATGCCTATGCCTTTGACGAGAATATGTCTGTCCCGATCTGTCGCTGTTGATGCTAGAAATAATGACCCACTGAAAATTTACTAGTAGGCATCCAAACCCTTGAATGTTACTCACAAACGTTGTCAAGTCATAATAATACCATTATCAAATATCTTTATGGATGTAGCTCCTTTTATCTACGGATACATCATTAAGTAAGAATCCAAGATTGTTAGCGGTCGGATGAGTTTTGCCATGAATGATATCAAAGCAGAGAGAAACCGTGACCCTCCATTAGATCGCATATCTCGTTGGGTAGTGGTTGTGAGCAAGAAGTGAACCAAATTTCATAACCGGTCCCTACCAATGCACTTACCCTTCTTGTCGAATGAAACATCGAGAACCAAAGCTGGATCGTAAATAAGAAAGGCGCTAGAGTATGAATGGTGATTGAAACTTGTTCTCTAAGGCCTCCTCTATCGTCAGTGTTCCCGTCCTGCCCCCTCTACTATTGATTTTGCCCTCCAATTCCACGGGATCAGGAGTTATGAATTTTCGCTCAGACATTTATTTCGCAAAAACCCAGCCCCCAGTTGGAGAAATCCGGTCCTCCCACCTACCATAAAAGCCTCATCGTGCCGCCTATACTCCTGCCAAGTTTGAACACCCTAGGGCCAAACTGACAATTTTGGCGCAAACCCCGCCCCCAGTGGGAGGAATCCGGTCCTATCACCCACAATAAGTGTTCGCATATTGCCGCCTGTCTTCCTACCAAGTTCAAGCGCCTTGGAGCAGATTCGCGCATATCCCGCCTTCTATGAGCGGGGTCAGGTCCTCCCACCTACCGTACGTAAGTGTTCCCATGGTGCCGCCTATACTCCTGCCAAGTTTGAACACCCTAGGGCCAAACTGACAATTTTGGCGCAAACCCTGCCCTCTGTGGCCCGATCCTGCCACTCACCATTAGTGTTACCTATTCTGCCTCCGGTACACTTACCAAATTTGTACTTTCTAGGTTCACCGAGATTGGAGTTATCATTTTCCGTAAAGCATTTGTCGCACAAACCCCGCCTACTTTGAGCGGAGTCTAGTTCTGCAACCCACCATATGCGTTCCTATCCTGCCGCCTGTGCTCCTACCAAATTTGAAAGTCCTTGATCCATGGGGACAGGAATTACGAATTTCCGTACAAACAGACAGACGGATGGACTGATACACAGACGCGAGCGCTTTATATAAAGTAAGGAAGTTATGCCCATGATATCACCCAATCCTGTGCATGTCCAACCCTTGAAGGAGGATTTTGCTGAGCTCAAACGTGTTCTTTTGAGCTCGCCGTATGCCCAACCCATCCCAAACTTGACCCGACTTATGCAGGTGCTTCCTAACATAATGTCGAATTTCTGTACAATTGAACGAATAAACAAATAATTGGTCGCAAGCGCTTCACATATGATGAGCTGTCGTATAGATTTCGCCTAAGTTCCAAATTTGGGAAACATTAATCTAGCCACTGAGGTGTTATGAAGTGGATAGTTCTTTGGAGGGCGCATCTTTGAGCGAAATTCTCATTTAAAATTAGAAGTTTCCATTAGATTAGATTTCTTTGGATTCCCGATTATGATTCTATGGAAAATTACGCGTCCATTCTGGAAAATAGGTTAAATACCGAAAGTATTTTCGGCAAAAATCCTTCGTGAGCAAAAAATTTTTTGCACACGAAGCCTAACAGCTTTCCTCCCTCTTTGGCTGTAGACGGATAGATGAATCGTCCATAGTGTAGAGATGTAGCACAACGGTGAATAGCCAATAGAACGTTTGGTGTTCAAGAATTAGGTGTTAAATGATGAGAACTGTGCGTCGTGAGTTGTGATTTTTAGTCTGTGGTGTCATAAATAGACTGGATTTCAATCAGCGGTAGAATATAAAGAGCATCGGTTGACTTTCCATTTCATAACTATTTTCTCACCGCACTCTTGTGATCTTCACGCTTTTGATCGTGCCTACGTGACTTTTGGGAGGATACACAAACGGGCATACAAACAGACACACAAAGTTAGCGCTTTATATATATAACTTTTAACTTTTTACCTTTATATATATATGTATACCAGGCGGCCACGCACGCTATCGCGCGCGCTCGGGGCTCTAGCCATGAGAAACGGAGCCTCATGAGCTGATTTTCACTATAGACCTTTATCGGATTTATGAGTTTCCGCTTAAACCCCGCCTCCTGTGGGCGGAGTCTGGTCCTGCCACCCACCATAAGTTTTCACATCATGGCGCCTGTACTCCTACCAAGTCT